GTTTGACAATGTAATTCTTGAAATGGCTAAGCGTCCTTTGAAAAAGCTAACTAAAGATGGATGATTAAAAAACAAAACAAAAGAAGAGAAGAAGAAGAAAATTAGCAAAGCCCTAAGGTTAATTTTAGTCCATTCTTAACAGGAACCACAAATATTTTTCTGGCTTTACATATTTAAGGTTTCTTTCCTGAAATAATTATCTTCATAACTGCACACAAAATACACATTTTTATATCAGCTCTCTTTTCCAATGATATATTTTGAAGTAATGCTCTATTTTAATTACTGAAGAATTTAAGCATTTCTTTTTGAAAGGGGAGTAGTTTCTTCTTAATTAAAATAGGTTGCTACTATTGATGATATTATGTATTACTTGATGATTAGCTCACTTTCCTGAACCCTGCTGCTCCCCTCAAGAATGCTGTTTATGCTTGGCATTAGTAACCTTTCAGTGTATGTGCACTCAGACCCCTTTCATAACTGTTGTGGTAACAAAAAAAAAATTACATAAACTTGCAAAAGAATTGCTTAATGGTATGAAGTATTCTGGTTTCTACCAAAACCCCAGTTACTTAATTTTGTGCCATTCCTGGCCCACATAAATTATGCAACCCTCACATCTCCACTCAGTGAATTATGTAGCTCTGCACACACATCAATTAATTTTGGCCCCATCAACTTCCCACCTTCTGTGCGTTTCTAGCCTCAAATCAGTTCTGCATCTCCCAGCCGCAAGCAGTTAATTTTGTGCTCCCAACAGCTCGTATCTGCCTGAACCTGCAGCCTCACTTAAACTCTTCACCCTCCCCCACCTGCCTCTCCTCTGCCTTGCTCCTCCCGCTGCTCTGGGCTTATCTTCTTGAATTTCTCCTCTTCCAGCTCAGCAGTGAGGGTCAGCTCCAGGCGGCTTTGCCTCCCACCTGCGTTCAGCTCAGGATCCCAACAGCAGCTGGGCCCGCTGTGGCCTGAGAGGAGAGGGTCCAGTCCAGAAGAAACCTCGGTATGCTTATCACTCTCCGTCCAATTTCCAAAGAGCGAGCTGCAAGACTGAAGCTCCATCTTCTGGAATGGCCTGTGAAAGTCATAGCATACTGGAAGCAACCACCTCCAAAACGCTGCTAGTGAGGAAGCTTGCATTACACATCACCCCACTAAGACGAGAAATAACTCTTAGATCTGTAAATAAGTAGCATGGAGGAAAAACCTGTTGCCAACATCCATCAAACTCAATGCTCCCTTCAGCAACAGAAATAATCGTGACCTGGACCTTGGTGTTAAAGCTGACACCAGCACTGCAGGTATCCACAACCGTAGCACAATGGACTTCCCTAAGCAATGCAGAAAGAGCTAATTTTCCTCCAGAAGAAACATCAATAACCAGAGTGCGAGTATGTCAAGAAGAGATATCTTGTTCCCTTACCAGTAACTTGACAGCCTCTACATGCAGGATAATTCTGACTCTAGGCATTATTATGGCCAAAAAAGAAAAGCTGAGTCCATGAGGAGCATGCAGAGACCAAAAGCCTCACCATATAACCTGAGAGGGTGATGTGCTGTGCCACAGATGAGAGTGGCCTCGACTTTCCTTTGCTCTCTGGTTGCCCTCAGACAACGGGGCAGCGCAGTAGCTCTGAAATCCATCCACAGACCTGTCACTGAGTCTAGCTCTCCAGTAGGGTCGGGCTGGTCAAGACAGGCCCCTTCCTCACCATCTCCCTCCATTCTTAATACCTCAGGAATACAGCAGGGAGGGAGATCAGCAGATTCCCGAGGGAAGAGAGCTGTGACAGTGGCATGAGGCATGGACGAGCTGTGTCCAGGGACTGTCGGAGCCACAGGAGCTCCTTGCCTGAGTGGACGGTCACGAGGGCTAGTAGGGACCAATACTCAGGGTCAGAGAATACCCTCAGTCAAATCTTTCTCTGGAGGTAGGAGGGAATTTGACTCCTCTCTCAAATGAGGTTACAGAATGTTTCCTCTCCTCTCCTTTTTGTATGTGTCTATTTAAGCAGCTAGCACTACAGAGGCTCACTTGTGCTTTTCTTGTACGGTTCCCAGCACATCTGGCTGTCTTGGATAGGGTCCCTAGGCCTGGCTGTAGCAAAAAGTAATGATAGTGTGTTTTAAACTTGGGCCTCCAGCTAAGACTATATATAAAACACAAAGCATTTGGGAGAAACTGGAGGAAATACAGTTTTAAGTAACTGTTTGAGGAAAAAAAAAATTCGCTCTTTTACATCTGCAATTCTACTTTGTATGAGTGGGTGCTCCATCGTGCTGAATGACGCATCTTAGCATTCAAAAGCTTATTTAATATAGTGAAGAACTTGATCCCAGCTGATTGGAACCTCCTTTTAATCAAACACTTTTCCTGTCCCACTTACACAACAACTATGGTCATTCATTAGTATTAAGCTAAACTGTCTCTAGAAAATGTTCTAATTAGCTAGGCTTCCTGATTAAACCTGCCTCTTTTAAAAAGAGGCACACCACTGTGTGTCATGTGGACATTTCATATTTCTTCTAAATAATAGAATTAGCTATGGGCATTTCCTTAAGAGCATGCAGAATACAATTGCAGTATAATTCGTCTCCCTCCAAGCCTAGTCTTGAAACATGCAAATTTCTCTTTCAAGTGTTTTGGCAAAAAAAGGGCAACATCCTAATGTACGTGTGATTTAGACACTGAATTATGAACTGGCTGAGTTATCATTAGTGGGTTGAGTTCTTAGGTGAATGTATGAAGAGTGCTGTGGAAAGTAGCACGGTCCCCTGAGGGACATATCAATGTATGGCTTGCTTCTCACACTTGTTCATAAGCATCCAGCATTGGCTACTGTCAGAGACAGGATGCTGGGCTAGCTGTGGACCCTTTAGTCTTCCACAACCTTGTAATATTTGTATATGGCCCAATGGAGCACACTGTAGTGCCATGCGCTATAGCTGAGCGATTTCATGTTCTGTTTTAAAAATAACAAGACAGCTCTTAACATTCAGGATACATTTTTCCACTCTGAAGCACCACAACAGTCTTTTTAAAGAAACCCTAGGAAGGGTGTTAACTTGATCAATGCTGTGCAGGAAGGAAAGCTCTTTCCTACTATTTTTTCAGCATGACTTTCACTGACATGATCAGGCTGGGAAAAGACTTATTGGCTGACAGCCCAGGACAGCCATGCAATATCTCTAGTCATCTGGAACTCAAACTACTCTGCCCAAGGGAGAACCATAACATAAAAACAATTTAGGTTACATGCTGAATCTTATAAACATTGTTCAGTTTTTAAAAAATAGTTTAAATACTATTTATGTGCATGCACTGTGCACAGTTTTTCTCAAATGTCAAGTAAGGAAGGCTCAGGAAGGTTTCTAGTTTTTTAATGTAGAAGGTTTTCAAAACTTGTGGGCATTTTTAGAAAAATAGGGAAATGAGCTTCCTCCCATCTCATAAATTTACAAGATAGCTTCTCCTACGTATCTTATATACACATTTTATATATAGATAATGTTTACTTTTTGACCTAGTCCAGAAACCATAGAATCATAGAAATGTTGGTTGGAAGGGACTTCTGGAGGCCTTGTAGTTCACCCTCCCGCTCAGCATGGGACCGTGGCCAACACTAGATTGGGGAGGGCTTGGCTGTGTCTAGCTGAGTCTCAAAAACCTCAGTGCCGGAGACTCCACAGCCTCCCTGGTGACCTGCCCCAGGGCTGCCCTTCTCTTCCAGAGAAGAAATTTTTTCTTGTGTCCAGTCTGATCCTTCCAGCTGCAGTTTGTGGCCGTTGCCCCTTGTTATGTTGCCTGTCACTGCTGCTGAGAGTTGGAACTGTCACTCCTGCAGCCTCCTCTTCAAGTAGTTGTAGCCTCCTATTAGGTTTCCCCGTAGCCTCGTTTTCACCAGACTAAACAAACCCAGGTGCCTCAGTTTCTCCTCACAGGCCATGCGCTCCAAACCCCAGACCACTGTGGTAATAAATCCTTACTAAGACAAAATTCCAAGGGCTTTCTGTGCGAGTGTTGGATGAATGGCTCAAGTTCGGCCCATAATTTGACTTGGACATTTGGCAAACTTAAGGGCTCTTACTAATAGTTCTGTCTTAGAAAAAATAAGCAGAATGCTTGCCTTTAAGGGAATTTTGACTGTTTTTATCTTTACATTTTAGATGGAACCGTATATTTTTTCTCACTTAGGTGATTTCTAGTTAGTTTAACACGTTTACTTCTCTTGCTATTAATCTGCTTTCGGGTGCTGTAAAAATGTGTGATCTTAGTAACCCTGTGAAACCAAAGTGCAAGGGCAAGTATACATGTATGAAACTGCAAAATTGAGGCCTTCACTTGTAACTGTCTTCTTGGTTGAATTTTCAGCTGTTCTGTGGCACAGGTGAAGGAAAAAAAGAGGTTTTCTAACAGTTCAAAGCTGATGCTAAAATATATTAAGCTATAGTGCTTTTGCAAGTGTATTTTTTTCTAACTTCAAATTGAGCACTACTTGCCTCTGTCTGTCATTCCTTTATCGTGCATAAAAAGCTGTCAGAGAAATCTTTTTTTCTGGAAGTTTGTACAGCTCTAATAATTTGAAGTAAAACAAAGGGATATAGAAGGTAAGCTTCACTTTAAAAAAAACTTCTTGTCTTGATTCAAGATCTGAATTTGGGTTATGTCCATTGCTACCTGTCCTGTTGCCAAGTTCTAACATTCCAGCACACCTTGTAACAAGTCTAAAATTATTATTTTAGGAAAATGATTATAATTTCTTTGTGATGTCTTTTTTTCCATAAACTGGTATTTCATAAGCTAAATGGCATTACTGTCTCTTCAGTGACTGATCCATTCTAACATAGGAGAATAACTCCTCTTAACAAATAGAAGAATTGTTCTTGTGCAGTTTCTTGGTTTTGCTGAAATTGTTGGTTGTTTTTTTATTGTTGTTATTTTTAATTGAGTTACGATTTTTACCTCATTGCTGTGATGTTTCATTTGTATGTTTTCATTGTAGGCCTTGCTGAGACCAGGGAGAATAGACAGAATCATCTACGTGCCTCTGCCCGATGCGGCCACTCGTGCGGAGATCTTCAAACTTCATTTTCAGTCCATGCCAGTCAGCAATGAAATCTGCTTAACAGAGCTCGTTCAGAATACGCAGAAGTATTCAGGAGCAGAGGTAAAATTTTCTGTATTGGTACTGGCCATGAAGTCAATGCACCAAGTAGGGTCTTGAAAATTGGTTTTGGGTTGCATCCCTTCCAGTCTTGTCAAAGGGAGGGGTGGGGGGATTATAAAAGGAAATGTTTGAGAAAATACGGTATGACTTCTGTGTTTCTACTCAGAAAGCAATACAATCTAGGGCTTTTTTTTCCACAGAGATCTGCATCAGAGTGTTGTTTCCAGGGAAAAGGCCTCTTCAAGGGTGATCCTGAGTAAGATCACAGGTGGCTTCCTTAAGGATGTGCTGCCAGGAGGAATGAAGGGAGGCGGGGGACAAGCCAGGGGAAGGTACAGGCTGTCCAGACAGTTCACTGTCGCCTCCCTGCAGCTCGGGGGATCTTTGGCGTTTGGGACTGTGGCTTAGAGCCTTAGCTGGAGGGAGGAGAGAAGCAATTATGAAACAGTCTAAGGGAATCTGTAAGGGAGTCTCGGGTCTCTTCAAGGGCTCCGCGTTTTTCTACTCCACATAACCAAGAGCTCCCAGCAGCTGTTATTATACAGCTCAGCACCATTAGTAAATCAGCTTCTGACTATGAACGTCAGGCAATTATTTCCTGTCCTGTGTATAGGGAGAAACTTTTTCAGGTGATGCTGCCTGGCAGTTACAATAAACACTGATATGTGAGTGGTCACCACTCTGTTCCCTGCATATTTATTCATGTCGGCGTCTCTGCAAAATATTTCATTCTTTCCTCATTTGGATTAATTGAAGGTAATTATATTACTTCAAACATTCTAAGAATGGTATTAAGGTTGCCACTTACAGCTTTTAAAGATATGAAATACCAGAATTAAAGTTTCCACCTTACCATAGCCAGTCCTAGTGTACGTATTATTGTACCATCTTTAATAAATAGTCACCCTTTAATCACGTAGTCTCCTTTGCCGTAGCAGAGTAGAGAATGTAATGTGCTTACCTCAGCTCCTCCATCTTTCTGTGTGCTGTTCATCGGGGCAGGGAAATAAGCTAAGCTTTTGTCTTGGTCCAAAAGACAGGGTGACTGTGGGGTATTTGTGCGCCTGATGTAGCACTGAATGGCCCTTCTCAACTGGCCAGTCATTGTACATGCTGTGTGACTTCCAGGCAGGAATTTTGCTCATTTAACTAGCTATTATATAAATGCTGGTGTGTTTTTAAAATGGTGCATTGCTTACTAGTAACCTCTGGCTGGTGAGGGCACTGCTGTGGGTGCTACAGAGGCCACTCTCCAGGCTACAGGAATGGGGTCAGCCCTTGCCATATGCAGCAGCAGTCTCTGGAGTGGCCTCCAGGGCTGTTCGAGGAAAATATGTACAGGCTAGATGTGAGACCAAAATAAAATCCACGACAGGTTTCCTCCTCAGCAGCACAGGCCAAATTGCGCTCTGGGAATGAGCGAAAGAGGGTTGTGTAGTGAGTGAAGCTGTCATGTGTAGGACATTTATTTGCCCCAGAACATGGGATCTCATAATGAAAAAAAGACAATAATTAACTTCTTATTGCAGGCTTAAATATTGGTCTGGGATACTATGCAGTTCTACTGCTTCCTTTGGTGTGGAGGAATGAGTCGAAACAGTACTGTATTTTCACCTGGATGCCATATTTTGCCATCCTGGGAAAATTTATCTGCCAAGTTATAAGCCTTCAAAAATACAAATATAAACCAATCCTATCTTGTATATGGAAACTATCTCATTACCAGGCAACAACTGTAATGCTTGTGTTTCAGCAGTTCCAAGCATATGGGGGTTTTCTTTGGATCTGGGTCAGCTGAGGCTCCAGTGGTGAATTCCTATGCTTAGCTGATGATGAGTAGCAAATGTCTTCGTGCTGGCTCTGTACAAACCAAAAATAAGTTAATGGGTCATTGTGTGCCGCTACAGACTAGGTGCAGGGGGAAGAACTGCCTATTTCTAATATGACATTTATCAGAAATTGTATTGGTACCTTACCTTTCTTTTAAATCATTCAAAGAATTGTAATAATTCAGATGTAGAGAGTGAATACAGAAGGAATCTCAGTCAGTATTCATTGGAAGAATATATAAAGAGTCTTGACAGCTGGCGCGCACAGCGGCCAGTTTCATTAAAGCCTTTTCTTCCTAGTGTCTCCAGTTTCCCAGCTTTACAAATAGTTTCCGCTCATGAATGGCAAGTTCAAATTCCACTGTTATACCCTTTGTTTAGAAGAAGAAATGGAAAATACTTGGTTTTGTGACTACAAGATGCTGTATAAATAGTAAGTTTCATGTAAGGAGATGTTGAATCATCCTAAAATGAGCTGAATAAACAGTGAGTAAAGTGGATAGTTTAGTATGCATCTGGCTTCCAACCTGGCATTTTTTCAGAGCATATATTCATCTATTTTGGCCTGTCATCACTTACGATCACTTGTCTCTGTTCACCTGCTATATGCATGTTTCTCGTAATAAATACCTTGAAGATATCAAGATAGCAAAATAGGATATTTACTTCCCACTGTTTCATTTGACAGAAGGTGGGAGATAATTTATGAGAGTGAAATAGAATTACCCTCTCTCATTTGTTTAGCTAAAAAAAAAAAAAAACATGCAGAAGGGGAGCGATGTCCATACACTTGTTTTATATTATGCTAATACTATAGATCAAACAAAGCCTTAGCTCTCTAGAAATATTGGGTTGGAGTCTGAACTTTATTTCCAGGCCCTTCCCAACTGCCCGCTGGTATCTTGGTACCTCTGCTCTGCAGAAGTGCTTGAAGCTCTTCATAGGTACTTGAATAGCTTCAAATCAGAAAAGCAGGAAATCGTTTTTGGAGGTTTCTGAACAGCGAGGTTGGCCTCAGAGCCAGGAATTACGTCTGTGCCGATAGCAACCCCAAAGAGCGTTCCCTCCTCCCTCTAAAGTAGCGTCTTTGGTTCCATCCCTCTGCTGAGGGTGTTTGCTTTCTCCCAGGACTGCCTCAACTTCTTTTAGACGAAACTGGTAGGACTGAGCTGTTCACAGGTAGGTCCCTGTGCCCTGTTTGCCCTTGCTCCTAGGCCAGCCCGTTTCAAGGGAGCGGTGGAGACGGAGTCAGGACTGGTCTCTGCTTTGCCCCCAGGTATTTTTCTAAAGAATTTCTCCCAAAGGCCTCGAAAGGGTGGCTGCATCCCGGGGCTGCGTGGGGCAGGAGGCGGTGGGGCTGCTGTGGCCTCGCTGTCCTCGCTGACACCGTGGGGTTAGCAGGGAGCACTGGCGGGGACCGCGGGGAATTCTCTAGTCCTTACAAGTCAATAAAAACAGTTAAAGCAGTAAAGATGTTGCCGTATCATACCTTTTACCAGATTAGTTCTAGTGTTGCCATATTTTATTTCAGGCAAAATTACAGGGCATCTGACCTTTATAACACTGGTAGTGTTAATCACTGCTCTTATATAAACGGGATATCTTCACTCAGAGATTGATCAATTTGATCATACCTTTTCCCCGTTATAGTTCATGTTGAGAAGTTTTAATTTATCTTCACTGTGCTTTCTGGAAAGTTTTATTAATTTAAAATCAAAGCATAGAAGTATTTTAAAAAGTAATGCAAGTTCTTTGGGTCTCATTAGTTTTCTTTCATGATGCCACCATAACCAGCTGGCATTAAGAAAAGCTTCCAAGCTCAGGAGCTCTATCTTATTTAGGGTTCAGATTAGGTTTTTCATAATTATTGGCTCCTCTCTGTTGTAATAAAAAATACCAATAGCCCCAGTGCGCTTTCTGGTGTGAGTAAAAACAAAATCATGTGGACAGCAGGAAATTGCTTTTTCATTAATTTTTAAATTATACATTATCTCAAGCAGAAGAGGAGACCGGCTGTAGCTGGAGCATGTCTTGGCCTAGAAAAAGAGGGACACCTACCTTTATAAATGCAAAGGCTGTTGTCTTTATTAGACTTGCGTGGCAAAAAAAAAAGATGGTATTATTTTCCTTTACAAATGAAATGGAAGAAAATTACTTCAAATTGTTTCTAATCCTTGGAGTTTGTTCTGTGAAAAGGGATGAGCAGGGGATGAAGACATTATTTCCCACTGTAGAAATACTTTGCTCCAGAAAGGAGGTGATAAATAGGAAACAAGAAAAATTTAAAAAAAGGTAGTACAAGGGATCATCTTTTATTGTCTGAGCCCCAGTCAGATATGCCTACAAAAGTAACTAAAGGGAATGACTATTTTTAAATTAATGGAAGGTGGGTCATGGTAAAGCAAAGGCTGGCATCGTTTCTATAGTATTATCATTTTCCATGCTTACAGGAAACAATAGCAAAGCGGGAACCGGGGAACCTGTAAATCTTTCACTGGTTCTTAGTTGAAGTAGAAGGGTTAATGTAAAAATATCTTTCTCACTTTGCAATAACTCTCAATGGTAACACAGAGAGTGCAGGAAAAAAAAAAGCCAATGAAGTCTTGTTCTGGCTCAAATAAGAGCATACTTGATGCCAAAAAAGTATCTTTGCAGCAGCACACTCTAATCAACTAAAGCCTTTGACTCTTGAAATATTTAGTCCAAAACTGCATGTTCTTGTTTACCAGATACTGACATATTTAAACTACAAACTTAAAAAAACAAAACAAAAAACCCAACTCTTTCTCATAGAGGAAGCCACCAACTTCAAAAGAAGTGAGGATATGTTCCATCATAGATATACAGGATGGTAAACAGTGTTTTAAGTGTTTGGGAAAAATAAGTCTCTCTTCATGAAAGAGCATCTACAATAAAGGTGAGAGAGGGCTAGGATATATCAGAAAAATTAGGATATATCACCTTTTTAATATCTAGTTTTCCATGAAGGAAAATATCTTCCAGACGTAAGGACAAGGGTGTTTGGTTATTCCAGTCCTGCACAGTAACCTAAAAAGACACAAACTTTTGGGAGCGAAGGTGACCACAAACCAAGAGTAACGGATGGGGGAAAAATATGGGGAAAAAAACAGTAGACTCTGCAAATTGTCTAAATCTCAGGCTTTTCATTTT